TAAATAACTGTGTGCAGGCAAATATTTATGTACATTCACATAGGCTTCTGCGTGGGTACACATACACAGAAACACATTATGGTGTATTCCATCTTGCTGGAAAACAGAACATTGCAAATTGCAGAACTGTAAGAAAAGCAGAATGGATACAAAAGTGCAGGAGCATGGCTGGTCTGCCTTATGCAATCCTGCTTAGGAGCCATTTTCCATTTGTTTTGGTGGAATCTGCTCGGTGCCTTTTAAGCAGCAGGAAATCAACACTACATATTTTGTTTAGCTAGAAATAAACCTGAATTTTAAAGTCTTCAAACTCTAACCCCTTAGTTGGATGGTTCTAAAAATACTTGACTTAGTGCCATTTGCATATGGGTCCACATTATTTTTCTTTGTATAATTGGAAAAGTTTTTAAGAATGTTTTTATATCATGTTTTCTTGAAAATTTCACTTTACCTGTATCTCAGAAGAAAAAAGTGCTGCTTCATTTATAAATACCATAAATTGTTACTGATTTTCAGATTATGAAGTGGTGGTTATAACATAAAGTGATTTAAATGTACCCTTTTCATTTGAATATGAAGGGGATGGATGTGGCTTAAAGGCTGGTCCAGTCTCAAAGAGAACTGTATCACAGGCAGCTGAGTCTTATTCAGATCTTCCTAAATTTCATGGAAAAATGCTCTATATTTACACAGAGACTTATAAATTTCTATATTGCATATATAGATATTACTATCTACATGAGCCTTTTAAAATTAATGGGACTCCACAGAGACCATACCCGCTTGGAATCGATTGCTGTAGTAGATCTGTCTATCTAAAACATACCCTTCCACTAGGTGCTACAAAGGTAGGTGTTATTTTTCTCCAAGGATCTCCCCAAAAAATCTCTGTATGCACAACTTCTGACACAGCAGTACCCATTTGTGATCAACTAATCACATGCTACTTTGCAGTGTCAAATATTTTTTATATTTGACATATTCTCAAGTATTTCTGGAAGCACAGAATTGGGTAGCAGTATGGTTTAGGCCTTCAGCAGTGACCTGGAGCTAAATGATGGGAATGCATTAATTTAAAAGAAATCCAGATAACTGCTTATGACAGTGTTCTTCCAGGATGGCAATCAAAGAAGACTTCAAGAGGGTTTAGAAATCTGTTAGGTTTGTCTGCTGCGAAACTTGGTTGCTCATTCTCTCTTTTGTACTTCTTGTTCTGAGTAATGTGTTCATTTCTAGTCATGTAAAAACAACTCCCCTTGTATATTTCCACAAGATCAGTGCAGATGCATTCTTATAATTCAGTGCAGTTTGTTTGACAATCTGTTGAAAATGTAATTGCTGAATCATCACTGCCTATTCATTGTGAGTAAAACCCTCTTACCTTTTGAACAACATGACTCATTTTGAAGGGCACAAAAGGTTTTTCTTATTGTTATAGCTTCTTGGCCTAAATGGTTATCCAGAGTCTGAGATTCTGTGGACTGTTTCTAATGGAATGATAATAAGATCAGGGGATCTCTTTAGAGAGCTGCATCGAAGAATGCAAGAAGATCTGATTTTGTGCTTATAAGAGGATCAGAACAAGAAGCAAATTCTTTTGCCTGTAACTTCACCAGGCTTCAGCACAAAATGTATGGATTTTTTTCTAGCAACCATTCTGTCAGTGATATTTGAGGCTGTATTTCATGTTTTCTTAGTCTTTTTCACCTGCTTTTTGTGTTTCTCTTGTTCTTCCCCTATACATAGGTAGATAGGTATTTGCAGAAATCACTTCTTCCCAGTGTGCTTAAATTCACTGCTGTCTCACGTGTACCTTTGAGTGATTACACATGCTTGCACTGTGAATTGAAGTTTCTTACTTTAATTTTATCTACAAGGCATTTCTTTCAAAAGCCTGATTTAACTTAGCCCATCTATTTATTATTATTATGTCGTAGGTTGGAAGAAAAGAACATGGCTCCTTTAAGTATCATCTGGATCACTAGCTCAAATTTAACATTACAAGAATTAATTTTCTTTTCCTTCTGTTTCAGATGTTCTGCCTTCTCACTCTGTCCAGACCAGCAACCTTCCTATCACATCAGATTCTCTTTTTGTCCTATATCCAGGTTACAGATTTGTCTGACAAGTCTACAAGTTGCCCCTTCTCAGACCCTAACTGCTGCATCTCTTTAATCCTTTACAAGATTAACTTTTGAAAGCATATCAGTTCTGGACTCCTGAAGAAAGCAGAAAAATTATGCTGCCATAGGACTGCTCAAGTTACATGACCAGGAAGATTCATGTCAGACCAAACATTAGATACTAATTCTTGCAAAATGAAAGAGGTTGTGTAGATCTGACTGGTCAAGCTCTCTGCTTTATTATCTTTTCTGGTTGATTCTATTGGAATCAACCAGATGATCTGTGCATTAGCCTAGGTGTTTTACTGTCATACTGCTTGCGATTGAGTACATATACAAAGTTTTCAAATGCTTGTTTGTTATCCTGAGATAAGAAACCACCTTTTGTGTCCTGAGCTCTTTGAGTGAACCCATGAAAGTCCTGAGAGCCAACTTCCAAGCAGTTTTCCTCCATCTCCCACCTCCATCACCTACCTCTCTCAGTTTTTTTCCCTCCTTTTTTTGCTTTCACCACTACTCACCTATTCTATTTTCCTTCTTCTCTTTTCCCTCTGCTTAGATATCAGCTCAGTTGGAAAGAAATACCTTAAATAACTCTGCCTGTGATCTGGCCCTATCTCCTCCCCAAGTCCCCACTAAGCTTTAATTACTGTCACAGTCTCTGGCCCTGTGATTAAATAATCTGTAAAGCATCCAAAGCATCCCTTGCTCTTTTCCTTACCCTGTTTCATACAACTCTCACTAGCATTTGTGTGCTTCAATCCTCAGCTGCACTCATTCTTTGTGAGCCTTTATTTCACTTACTAGAAGACAGAAAGGTGGTCTAAAGAGGACCAAATTTGGATACCCTTGCTTTTATTCCCTGGTGGGCTGGGAGGCTAGGACTTGACTGTGGGAATCACAAAGTAGAAAAATACACAGTACTTGTATTGCAAGATGAGACAGTTTGGCCAGACAGTGGCGGTTTCCTCTCGTTTCTGGCCATGACTCAGACTAAGCCAGAATTGCAGAATATGTGATGGAAATTGCAAATTGGATGGCTACAGGCCAGTTAAATCAGTAACTTGGTCAGTGAGGATGCCCCACCTGCCTAAGGCAGATGATCTATTCTTTACAAGGGCCTTCTGTGTTTTGTACGATAACGAGAATCAGTCAGAACCAGAAAAAAATAATATACATGCTTTTCCAAATAGCCCCAACCACCTTCCTGGATCCTGCTGGTCAGTGTTAGCTACTACTTTTCAGACTGAAAAAAAAAAATGTTATTTTGGAGCAAACTGATGGTGAAAACATATAAAACTTTGCAGATTGCTGTTTTTTTCCTTATATCACCAGTAGAGCAGCCTGTAATTCTATCACAGGTAAATCCTATTGTCAGTGGGATTTTCACCTGAGGAAGGATTTTGTAATAGCGGTTTTGCAAGGCACATTTGTAGCAAACAAGTGCTGACCATTCCTCCTCTCTACTGCAGGGTAATTGTGTTACAGTGAAAGGCTTTTAACTAGAAATCTGACTGAATTGCTCAACCCCCCCAGGAGACATTCCTGAAACATGAATTTCAGTCTGGCATGCTGAACACACTGTTCCCGCAGCTGCTGCTATTGCTGACCAGATCCTCTGTAGGAGGAGAGCACTTTAAGGAAGTAGTGGCAAGGCAAGCCTGAGAGGGTGTGGGAGAGAATGGTGCAGCTTTGGAAGCTGAGTAGCATTGATTAAAAGCTTCAGCACAGAGTAAAGAAGTGCTATAAGACAGCAATTTTATACACACAACACCCATCTATCTAATAAGAGTTACTGACTGTTGTTCTGCTGTCTACAACTTTCGAACTGCAACACTCTTCTGTTATAATCAGAATAACAGAATAAAAATGGATGCACATTTTGATTTTTCAGGTTCATTTAAAAAACAAAACCAGTTAAGTTCCCTTTTGTACTGTACTACTTAGAGTGATGATCAAGTGTGCATCAAATATTGCCTTTTCTCAGCAGTTCATACATTTGCTTAATGAACATAATCATGAAAAGATTCTTATTATGGAGTAGCTGTCATAATTTTGATTTATTCCTATGGAAGCATGGTGTTGGCACTAAGCTCCTGGAACTTTTTCCTTTTCATCTTGATCGCTTTCCCAAAAGAAATGAAAAGGCCCTGTTGCATTTCTAATATTCTTCTTGAAAATAATGCAGAAATGTATTTCAAATAATATTATTCTTTTACACTAAATGGTTGACTGCGTAAGGAAACAACATAACACTCAGAGAGTCTTTCTAACAGCTCTTCGTCTGATGTCAATTACTAAATTTCCTTTGTTCTTTCCCAAACTGAATTTACACTTCAGAAATTAGCATTTTAAATGCTGTCAGCTCAAGCTGTGAACCCTCTTCTCCTTGCCTGGGTTGACCACCTTCTGAGCAAGGAACCAGTCCTAGCACACAGCTCTTTAGATAACAAAACATGACAAACTCAGAACAGTGTTTCACTTTCTAATTCTATCATTTGTGTACCAGCATGTCTGTGTGATTAATCTTTTTGTCTGTTCCGGAAGAGGTAGGTGCAAACCTAAACAAACCAATGGGAGACAGCAGACATAATAAAATGACTCATCTTTCTTTGGTCAGTGGACTGAGATGAAAAACAAAGGTTTCTGAACCCCTATGATACACACAGCCAATATCCTCCTCTTCTGAGGGTATTTCAAAGAAAAGTAATGCGTGGGAAAATTCCTAGAACTGTTGAACAGCATCTTTGACACAATCAACTATAAGGACACTCAGGGCTGAATATTGTTCAGTCGAGCAAAACATTCTAAATCCCAGGATTTTAATGTTGTGCTGATTGATAAATGGATGTGCAGGGGCAGTTTCACAGCACTTACCCATCATTGCAAGGTCACGAAGTCCTGCAGGGCATGGCCATAGGAAGGTAGGTGTCCCAACAAGCTGAAAGAGAAAATGAGCAAAATGACAGTTTCAAACTGGAGTCCACAACAAAAGTAATTGAAATACAGAATAATAAAGAATTGGGTAATGGAACCAGGGGCATGGGAAATACTTTGAAGGAAATAAATATATTTTTATGGCTAGACTAGGATCAAGTGAGATTGCTATAGCTTTTGGGGGCTGTTAAAAATATAATGGGCTTTGCTTTGGTGCTGCAACTCAGAGAGTACTCCCATGCATCATACTTGCAAAGTAGCATAAATGTGTTTACATATGCATGTAGTCTTTTAAGGCATTTTTATTTCATCATTTCCTCTGAGAATAAAATCATGATTTGCTGTTTATTTTAAAAGATTCTTGAAGACAAAAGTGTAGGTCCTATGAAAAGCTCCTTTTGTCCATTCAGATTTGGACTGTTTCAGTTTTGGATGGTAATAAACAACCATCATTACTGGGGTGCTGTATGTGATCTCAAGGTGTGCATTGTAACTGCATCTTCATTCAACTGAAGTCTGAGACTAGAACGGTTTCTCCTCTGAGCTCTAGCTTTCGTGAGCAGGAAGCCCTTCATCTGTGGGCCAAAAAGTAGCATGAAGTGCTCCAAACAAATCTCAAATCTGGATGATGGGGACTCAGGCCATGTGAACTGTTGCTGGATATACCTGCCAGGTGCTGTATTTTCAGAGACCTTGTAGGGGATGAAGTTATATGTCAACATGGTAATAGCTTCAGAATAAAAAAAAAATTCTCTCTTTAGGGCTTAACACATAAAAGACAATTGGCTTTAGAAGCTAGATTTTGAAAAGAAATATGAACTTTTGAAACTCTTTATTGATTGGTCTGATAGATGAGAGAAACTGAAAACTGTCTTTTTCCATCTGCCTTGCTCTTTTTTAAAACAGGCTCAGGATATCAAGCACCCAGGTTCTGGGCTCTATCAGGAAATCTGCCAGATCTCACATGTTCCTGCTGTTTTCCAGTCTACTAGGAGTGCAGCCTCCTTTTCTCAAGCCTGTTGAACGTACAGGCTGCAGGGACACAAAAAACATCCAGGATGAGGGGATTACTGTTAGCCCAAATGTGGCTCTAGGTTGAGGTAGGAAGAAGAACTTTTATTGGCCTGAAAACAAATCTCTAAAAAGCTGCTGGACCGCAACCAAGGGGGAGGAGGACAGCTTGAGGAGAACACTAGGCTTATAATTCATTTATTTCTCATTTGCACCGTTTGCAATTCTGAAAGCTCCTTGTCTTCTTGTCAGGTTGCTCTCCAAGCTCAGCCAAGAAGCAGCCTATTTACTTTGCTTTTGTTGAAGCTCTTTTTGCCTATGGTAACATTTAGGGAGACGTCAGCTTGTAACAGTAACTGTCTTCAGTGATCATTGTCTTTTGTACCTGTCATACAGAGGTCCAATGGCATGGATAAAAGGAGATTAGAAAGGAGTTGTCCTCCCACGTGTAAAAACAATCAACCAAACTAACAAAAAACCACAACCAAACAACAACAACAAAACAACCAAACCAACCTGTAAATGGGAAATCTTATACCAATATCCTGTGTGTACACCACACAAATGTGATTAATGCATATCAAGGGAAAGGCCTGTGTAAGGTTAATTACTATGCGTCATGCATTATTTCCAAAAGAGAACAGAATAGCTGGACAAGGCTGGGGCTCTCGCTGAGCTAATCAAAATACATGTAGGTCAGCTCTAATGCTGGAAGGTTGCTCCCAGGACCCAAGCTAGATCAGGTGTCTCATTCTGTTGCCTACTCTCTTAAAGAACTATTTAAAATATTGAATAGTTACTACCATTGGTTAAAAAGGTATTAAAAAGAAAAAGTGTTATTCTTCAGTGAAACTCAAAATGGTACCTTTTTAATGACTGTACCAAAATATGAAAACATAAAGAAGTGCTTTAGATGGCCAAAGCAGATATTTCTCTTGATGATTTAAAAATTTAGTTATTTTTTGAAATCTGAAACTGATAAAAATTGATACAGAAATTCAAACTCCATAATTGATCCAAGAAGATTCATAATGGCAAATGAAGGATTTACTTCAACATTTTCTGAGTTCATTCTGTACACTGGCAATTTGGGAAAAAAGATGCAATATTCTTCACACATTAAAGTAATGACAAAGACATTGTCTTTGCTTTCAGAGTACTCCATGTATTCTTAAAAGATGGTGATATACAGCCACATGTGCAGGAATGCTTCTTTTTCACTTGAGAATCTTATCTGTTTCCATTTGGAAAAAAAAAAAAAAGAAAGAAAAAAAAACATCTACCACAGCCCTTTACAATTAAGCAGCAGCTGCATGTGATACATTTTCAGTATGAAAAATACAAGATCTTTTTCCACATTACAGCTAACTTGATGTCACATCAGTGAAAAGCAAAACTGACCTCTTTTCTTGTTTTAATGGCCTTTTGCTCTGTTTAGATTTAAGGTGCTATTACAGAAAACACCTAAGAGGTACGACCCTCCAGAATTCCCATCATGTTGACATTACAAAGTTATCTGACTTTGACCTTGCACATCTTTCAAGGCAGAAACTCACACAGCTGGTAACTTGATCTCTGCCTGAAATTCCGGACTCCTAAGGCAGTATCAGGTGCTGCCTGCCCTTTTTTTCAATGGTATCATGAACTCATGATACTCTTTATAAACCCACCGATGACTTAGTGGCTTGAAAAGTACGTTTCATTGTAGATTGCTTCTTTGTCCAGAGACATACGCTGCAATACTGTTGCAGACTGTGGAAATGTATGACTCATGGGATAATTAACATGGCATTCTCAGGAAAGAGCATTATAGATCACCTAGATCTCTTCATAGGTGAGAGATTTAGAGAAATTTTGACTCCTCAATAAATTCCTACACATTGTATTTGTATAAACCAGTAAAGATACAATCCTGACTTTGAGAAAAGTTGCTTCCTGCATAATGCTAGATGCTCTGTGGTAATTTCTTGCTCTTGACTGTGCTGAGTAGCAGCTCTGCTACTTTCTTTCATTCACTGAGACCAAGAGCAGGGAATTAGCAGGGAACAGAATTAGCAGGGATGGTAAAACAGCAGGACAAACATTTTGCATAACATAATGGCTTTAAGTCACTAAAGACGCCTGTAGAAATTCATGTTGCCAGTGCTACTACATTGTTGGGAAGAAGTCTTTTTGACTTGGTTCAAGTGATGAGTTACTGAGTTAGGCACAGATACTGGTATTACTGGGAAAGTGGTGTTGCTTGTGAATCTGCCCTTCCAAATCTCTCAGTAAAAAGTCCCATTCAGTTTTATATATATATATATATATATACATATATATATATATATATATATATAAAGTAATTGCAAAGCATTTCTTTAATTTATTCCTTATCTTGTTCTCCACGTGAAGCTATTTTGAGTTTATGGACTCAGCATTATTAACCACTTCTACTAATTTTTGTGGTGGAGATGATTCAGTTTCAGATTGGCTCTTTTAATTTTGGTATATAACATATTGCAGATCAGTGAAATAAAGCAGACCAAGTAAATCTAGACATTTAAGGTGGTGGGTGAGGGGGAGGCAGACATCGGGTAAATCGTGTTTCCGAGTCATGAATAACTGAAGTAGTGTTTCTGCGTTGCTTGGTGACAGTTTCTGTTTAGTTGGCAGTGGAGTTCACTGAAAATATTTTAGCTTCTGCTCCTGACAGCTACAAACGTGCGTTCTCATGTAATCTTATAAACTCAAATGCTGTTAAATGCATGCCCAATATACCTCTTCAAAAGTGAACAACAGATAGCATTGCCAAATTGCAGAGGCAACACTGAACAACACAGTCATATTCAGCTAATTACAAGAAGTTCACACTGGTTGGTCTATTTCTTCCTCTGTTAACACTCCGCTCTGCCACATGCAGAACAAAGCTCAAGAGCAAACACGAACAATTTGCTCGTCTGGTTGGCAGAAGTCAGGCGGTACTAATGGCCTCAGGAGACCAGTGTTGACTTTACGCCAATTCTAAATCTCTGCTCAAGCCACTCCAGTTCACAAAAAAAGCTACTTTTCCTTCCAGCCTCACTGATAAGGGCAACATGCAGAAGCCTGGTTTATGACTAATGTTTACCAAGTGTTACAAGGCTTGAGCTGAGGGAAATATGAAACCCTTTGACCCCAACTCAGAATAGCCAAACTCCATCTGCTCTGGAGCTTCAAATGGTAAGAATGCCTCCGTTTTGTGCCGTGGGCATGTTGAGAGGTAAAGTGTGGACTAGGGATGATTTCAGTCATGTTCATCTTAAGCTGCAAAATTTTCTTGAAAAAATATCTATTCTTAATTCTATCCAGAAGAATTAATCTTAAGAGATAAAGTGGATTTAGATCCAGTAACAGGTACACAAAGGACTTCGTCATATTGTCGGTAGAAGTAACTTAAGAATTCAAAGTAGTTGCAAAAACACAAAATGCAAATGGAGCAAGTGGATTCATTTGCAACACACAGGCAAAAATGCTGTATTATCAGGGGGGATTGAATGACATACCACACATCACATGTTGTCAGTACTGAAATATCTGTGGCATTTTAAAAGTTCTCTGTGACCATTTCACAATTCAAAGAGTTGTATTCAACACAACAATTGTGTGAGATTGTTTAGAAAAGTAAAGAGGGCCTAATTATAATGTTTAAAATTAGTTGCAGTTTATCTTGAAAGGATCATATGATCACATTTTTATCTACAAACAGAAACAGTGAGAGCTACTTAAATACATATAGTTGGTTAACTTGTGACTGAGGCAAACAATTATAAAAGTATTTTCAAAACTTTTTGGACGATGAATCATATTTCACATAGTTTTACATGATGAAATTGTGATCTTACAAGCCACGATAAATGCACCATTTTTACTTTTTTTGATAAACCACTTTATCCAGCAGGGGAAGCTCAGAATCTGCATCTACAGAATCTCACAGAACTGGAGGAGAAGAATAAATATCTATTAAGGTATTAT